CCCTCCCCCTTTTTTAGTCTTTTTAGCTTTTTAGTTTTAAATTGTCATGGGGTTTTAATTGAATTGTTTTAAATTGGGCCAGTTATGTAATTCTTTTAACAATTTTAAATTTTGTATTGGCATGTGTTTTAGTTCTTGCTGTTGACTGCCCTGAGTCCACTAGGAGAAGGGCAGTATACAAATTGAAATAAATAAATAAATAAATAAAATATGAATTTGATCAAATCTTGGCAAATCAGTCACATTTTTTCTTCCATTTGATTTTTACATCTTCTACATTACAGGCTCCCAAAACAAATGTCTAAACACCCTCTCAAATAAGCTGGAACATAATGTGCCACAGTCACCTTCCCCACCAACAATGCCCCAGCCATGCAACTTTTAGTCAAACAATAAATCAGGCCAACCTGAAAAGGTGAATCAGGAAGGGAGATAGTTGATTTATTAGGGATTGGGATTAGTGCAGAGCAATATTGAATGCTTATGCCAGGGCCCTAATGGATGATCTCCAGGAACCAAAAATTGTGTGCCTTTCATAGTAATAGGAGGGCAGCTGTTGCACAATGAAGACCACCAGAACTCACTGAGATCTCTATGTTGGGTTTAAAACACACACATCCTGCAGTGTCCTCTTGTTTTGTTGTTATGGCACAGCTGTAATACTATTCTCCCTAGGGGAAGAGGAATATATAGCAATAGCACTTAAGACTTATATACCGCTTCACAGTGCTTTACAGCAGTAGTGGGTTCCTCTTAACTCTGCTACCGGTTCGGAACTGGAAGTGCTCGCATGCTGACCTTTTGCGCATGCACACAAAATGCAGAGCATCCATGATGACATCTGGGTGGGTGGGCGGAGCCTCCTGCTGCCGCCACTACTGGTTCGCCCAAACTGGGGCGAACCGATAGAAACCTACCACTGCTTTACAGCCCTCTCTAAGTGGTTTACAGGGTCAGCATATTGCCCCCAATTAGGTATATGAAGCGGTATATAAGTCTAAGTGGTATTGCTATATATTCCTCTTCCCCTAAGGGGAGTAGTATTACAGCTGCGCCATAATGAGCCGAGGTGGCGCAGTGGTTAGAGTGCAGTACTGCAGCTACTTCAGCTGACTGCTAGTTCAGCAGATCAGCAGATCAAATCTCACCGGCTCAAGGTTGACTCAGCCTTCCATCCTTCCGAGGTGGGTAAAATGAGGACCCAGATTGTTGGGGGCAATATGCTATTTAGTATACTGTCTTTGGTCTAAGCCACCCAGAGTCCTCGAAGAGTGGGCGGCATAGAAATATGAAAAATAAATAAATAAATAAATAAATAAATAAATAAATAAATAAATAAATAAATAAATAAATAACAACAAAACAACAGGACACTGCGTGGGTGGTGGTGTTTAAAACCCAACATAGAGATCTCAGTGAGTTCTGGTGGTCTTGCCCCTGTGCAGACTTAATTAAGGATTTTTTTATTTATTTTTTTTAAATTTGATTTATATGCCGCCCTTCTCCGGAGACTCAGGGCGGCTTACAATGCGTTAAGCAATAGCCTTCATTGTACTTCCTCTTGTCATATCTGTCTTTCAGTAAATCAATTCTTGGTAAATGGGTTGGATTATTGCAGCAACTAGTGACTCTGTCACAGCCCTGGGACTATTTCTCCTAGATTTTATCACAAATCTTCCCCCAATGCAAAGATATATAAGCATACTGGTAGTAGTGGATTTATTTACCAAAGTAGGTCTCCTAATGTCCCAGGAAATAGCTCGGCTTCTTTTAGACCACATATTTGAAATTACACGATTGAAGTTTGGTCAATCATGTAATTTCAGACAAAGGAAGTCCACATTTCCAAATTTTGGAAGGCCCTATTGTACTTATTAATTTTTTTTTTAATGATGGTGCTCTCTGAGCTTGATTGTTTTCTTTTAGACATTTCACTACTCAAACTAGGTAACATCATCAGTGCTACTTCATTTCTTTTCCTTGTATCATCTGGCCACTAACAGAGAATCTGGGACAGTTAATCAGCTGTGACAATATTTAAGATGTAATATTTCATATCGACAAGGCAACTGAACTGATCTTATAGCTCTTCCTTACAACAATGCTGCACACAGCACTACTAGTATGTCTTTGTTCCAAGCAACTTTCAGATTCCATTCTCAGGTCTTGCCAACAATCAGGCACAAAAGCGCCATCCCTTATATTTCACATTTTCTGCACAAGAGGCAAGCTGCCTAAAGCCTCTTAAAGAACAACTTGAACTAGTAAAGGGCACGTACAAAAAAGCAGCAGATGCATATACTGTAGACAAGAGAGGGCTAGAATTGCAGAAGAGGATTTGTTGTGCCTTTCAACTTTTTTTTATTATTATTCCAAAAGGCCTTCCAAGAAATTGTATTAAATTTTTTTTGGCTCCTTCCCAGTGATTAAACAAATAAACCCATTTATACTCAAGTTGCAATTGCCAGCATCAATGAAAATTCACCCTGTACCATCACTCTTTATTGGTGAAAGAGGCTTCCCCCTGAATTCTGTGCTCACAGGTAGCACTCCCCTCTTATACTGGTAAATGGGGAGAAAAAAATATAAATTGGAAGCAATTCTAGACACAGAGGAAAGTGGATGGAATACTCCTGGACTCAGAACTGCTGCAGATGGTAGCCAAGACTAGAAGGGCTTTTGCCCAAATACATAATATGTTCCAATTGCATTTGTGTATAAAGTACATAGATGCATTTTACATGGGGTTGTCCTTGAAGAGAATTTGGAAGTTTCAGCTTGTCAAGAATGCAGTGGCACTTGTAGTAATGGATGCTTTGTGATATATTTACACAATACCTCTGCTCACAGATGCAATTCAAATGTTAGTTATTCTGTTTAAAACCTATATGACATGTGGCCAAATCTCATATAAGCAGAACAGATCTGCTCCAGGCCCCATTGGTAAAGCGGTGTCAAGTGCTGGACTTAGGCAGCATCAGTTCTTTCTCATGGTGCCTGTCTTGTGGAACAGCTTCCACCAGAGGTCGGTTTCAGCAGGTTCTGACCAGTTCTGGAGAACCGGTAGCAGAAATTTTGAGTAGTTTGGAGAACCAGTAAATACCACCTCTGACTGGCCATGCCCCCATCTATTCTCTGCCTCCCGAGTCCCAGCTGATTGGGAGAAAATGGGGATTTTGCAGTATCCTTCCCCTGCCATGCCCACCAAGCCATGCCATGCCCACCAAGCCACGCCCACAGAACTGGTAGTAAAAAATTTTGAGTCCCACCACTGGCTTCCACCCTGCGATACAGACAAGCCCCTACCGTGCTGCCCTCCTAAAAGACTGTGGAGATCTGATTAGCAATAGCACTTAGACTTATATACTGCTTTACAGTGCTTTTTAGCCCTCTCTAAGCGGTTTACAGAGTCAGCATATTGCCCCCAATTTGGGTCCTCATTTTATACACCTCAGAAGGATGGAAGAATGAGTCAGCCTTGAGCCTGGTGAGATTTGAACTGCCAAATTGTAGGCAGCCAGCAGGCAGCAGACGTAGCTTGCAGTACTGCACTCTAATCACTGCGACACCGAGGCTCATTGCTAGTTTATATCTCTGTTTGCCACCTAGAGATTCTTTAATAGAAGGACAGCTCTATAAATTTGTTTAATAACTCAATAAAATAATATACATAACAATCTTTTTTTATTTTGTTCAATAATTTATGCTTTTTAGATTTTACACTCCATCTTTAAATTTGAAACCATAGTAGCTTTTGCTGGATCATAATTACCTTTATATAGTATATGGAAAAAGTGTTCTTGTTTAGCACTTTCATGAAAGAAAATAAAAATTAGCTTTATTTAAGAAATAATAAGTTACTTGAGTCTATCTATGGCTTAGAGACTGTGGAGTGATCTCTTCTAGCCTGAACTATCAGAAAGAAAAGAGAACTAAATTGAGAGAGAAACTGACAGCCTCAAGAATATCCAACAGATGACATGTTACACAGAAATATATGAAGTATATTTTGTCTTTTACACAAGGAAGAGAGAAAAAAGTGCAGAAATTCCCTGTGCTAAATATTCTGGAACTATTTCCTTAACAATCAATAGGTTCAAGGGTGAAGACACCTAGCCCATACAAAGTTGAATTCCAGCAACATTAACATATAATGTAACATTTTCATGCAGTTTTGTTTAATGTAAGTAATATTTCTTTTTTTCCAAAGAAAGAATTAATCTTATTACCATATCATCCTGGGAGGGTGTAATGGAGTTAGGCAAAAGATGCTGCACAAGTCAGGAAAGGCATGTGTTATGGTGCTTTACAGGTCAGGAAGGATGCTTGCAGGTGTGCAAGAGCTGCCCACAGATCAGAAAGGAGTAAGGAGTTGTAACAAATTGGAGGTTAAATACAGTGAGCAGACATGTGCAGTTCATTGGCATGATGTAAATGCAGAGGGCCTGGAGAGATAGCATGAATGGGGGAGACTTAACTGAGGAACTTGCAACCTTCCCTACTAATTTCCCTCTTGCTGATGCCCCCTGCAAACCTGGAGCGTGGGCAATCATTATCAAGTTTGTGCTTCCTGCCTGCTTCCTTATTGATTTGTGGGAAGCTATCAGGGTGCATTGGAAATGACAATCGGATCACATCACCCTGGCTGACCACAGCAGCATGATAGTGCTGAATCTGCAGCAGCGTAGCAGTGGCTCTAAAGTGGCCACAAATTTCCCAAATTTCATTTGCAGGAGCAATGGGTCCCGGCATTGTGTAAGTTAATCTGTTTGAGGTACTTTGGTTCAAAAATTGCTGCCTTGTGACTCACAATTTTGCCCAACTGGAGGTTACAAAATCATTCTAAAAATGTCCTTTTAAAGTATGTCTGAAATTGGAACGATATGGGCTTTGGGGGAATACAAAATTCAATGTTATCTTGTGTCATCTTGTGTTCATTTTTAATAATTGATGATAGGAGGAAATGTTAGCAATTAAGTCTGCAGGCAAGTCCTACTAACCTGAACGTCCAATACTGTCTGATGCAATTTTGGAAGTTTTCGGCTGACTCTGCTTGCTACTTGCCCGTGCAGAAACTGATGGGGCATGAGAAAGTGGAATTGCAGTGCTGCTGGTCTCTCCTCTAATTGTGGTAAGGTCTTGCATGCTAAAACTCCGGAGCCTCTCTGACAGCGCTCCTTGACTCTGTAAAAATCAATAGAGATACATAATAACTTTTTGATTCAGAATAATAGATACTTGTGGGGAGAAAAAATAAGCATGCAAGCACATATTGAAAATCCATTATTTTGAGTGACAAATTGGACATACTTCATCTCTCCTTCAATAAAATGGTTTATTTTTTTAATTGTTATGTTTTTATGCATTATTAGTCAGTAATGGGTTCCACTTACCTTCGCTACCGCTTCGCTCGTCTGCGGCGCTTCTGCATGATGACGGCCTTCTGCCGCCGCCACTACCAGTTCGCCTGAACTGGGGCGAACTGGTAGAAACCCACCGATGGACATTTTATTCATCTTCATATTCACATAAAATTCTTTCTAAAATCCCTTCTGAGAGGCAACTTGTATTGTAAAATTCTGAGAAATTTATAAATGTGAAAGAATACTCCCAGAAGAACTATTTTCTTGAGAGAGAAAAAGCATTCTAGATAATTTATGGTGTTTCAGAGACTAATTCTTGAATTAAATTTTATTTTAAAAGATGAGGGGGCGAGGTAAACATGCAAAAATTCTTTTTTAGCAAAAGTGTTAAAAATACAGAGCTATTCAAGACATTGGCAGAATTTGAAAACAACCTAAAATAAAACAACAAATATAAAAGAAAATTTACAGGGTTTTGTTTTTTTTTGCCCAAAATAGAAAAAAATGAACTTTGGATTTATGGATTTAATGATAAGATATGGTAGAAGATGGAAAGAAAGGACCAATAATGTATCCTTAGAGAGAAGATAAAATATAAAAACCATAAAATATCATTGCTATAAAGATCAGAAACCACTCTTAGATATTTTTTCTTTTCCCTTTTTTCTCTCTCATTTTATTTCTCTTATTTACTTAACTCTTTTCTTTTCTTTTTCATTTAAATTTGTAGTGTTTTACTTTGCAAAGAACTTATTTAATTTTTTTTTTAAAAAATATACAAGATAATACTCTCAAGCAGATAGCAATAGCACTTAGATTTATATACCACTTCATAGCGCTTTACAGCCTTCTCTACGTGGTTTACAGAGTCAGCATATTGCCCCCAACAATTGGGTCCTCATTTTACCCACCACCGAAGGATGGAAGGCTGAGTCAATCTTGAACCACTCAGAACTCCTGAAGTGAGTGATGAGTTATCCTGCAATACTGTATTCTAACCACTGAGCCACCACGGGTCATCACAACATGCTATTGATCTGGTAGTAATAAAGAAGTAACTGATGTAAACAGGTGCCAATTTAAAAAACACACACACAATGACTGAGCTTCAATAAAGACAATAATAATCAAAGACAATACATTTCATTTAAATATAACATACTTCTAGCTAACTGATTTTTTTTCCCAAGGTTTTTTTTTTCCTGAAATAAGTTTCTTTTTGACTCAGTTATCCCTTGGCTTCAGTCCTTGAGGATTCCAGTCAGTTAAACTCAGGGGCTGCTTGGGACATTGCAGATATGCTGGTTTTCTTCTTAGCCTCCATTCCCAATCTCTGCTTTAGTTTTCAAAACAACAAACCATTTTTCTCTAGCAGAAAGGGAGGAGTTTAAGTAATCTGATTTTGCAGGTAGGCCAAAGCATGCTACTATCTCTTTTACAAATCTAGATTCATTGCCTGTGATGAATTAATGTGGATCGAAACAAATGTGTTTTCTGTCAGTGGAGCTGACTGACTCATTCACCACATATATCTCTTTTAAAAGATTACGGGGTTAGCTAAATACTGCTCGGTCTATAGGATGCCCATGCTAAGAACTGATCCTTAACACAACATACAGGGAGTCCTTTGACTTATGAGCCTAATGGAACCTGCCCATTACAGTTGTAAGTCATTACGGTTATAAAGCGGGTCACCAATATGACAAATCCAATGGTTGTTAAGGCACTGTGCTGTCATAAAGCAATCATTGTTCACTATAGGGCATTTTTGCTGAAAACTGGAAGACACTGCAAACAGCCATGAATGCAGCCAGCTGTTGAACATTTGACATGTGGTCACGTGATTAGAAGGCATTGGAACTTCAGAACCAGATCATAAGTACCTTTGGGGAGAGTCCATCATAACTTCAAATGGTTGCTAAGCAACCAGTATAAATCACCTGAATGTAGTTAGTTCAGCAATTAGTTTAGCATATATGGATATGTCTGTATGAAATATCTATTCATCAATGGTAATTTCTATGCTACCGTAGTCCAAAATAGTTCTGTTGGCAATATCCTTATTTCTTTAGATTCATTTTTTGCATTGCTCTATAATCATTGATCCTTCGAAATAATTATCTGAACAACATATGTCATTCTATTTTAAAGCCATATTTCTGCAGGATAAAATTCCAGAACACTTAATTTATTGTGGTGGGCTTCTCAGAGCTATTCAGTCAGTTTTGTGTTCAAATCAACATTTCTACAGAGAACAATGTAATTTCTCATAGATGCATACAACAGCAGAGCCTGCTTTCTCTGAGGGAGAGGAATGGGATTCTTTCATCAACAGTTTCTTAGGAACACCATTGGACGAAGAGTTTGGTGTTAACAATGCTTCAATGCCCCTCTCTGAAGATCTGTGATTAATATGAAGAGCTTTTTAAAGTCTAGAGCTTTGTAAGCTAGAGCTAGAGTAATATAATACTACAAATAAGAGCTGCTTTCAGCTGCTAAAACTCACCCTGACAATTCTCAGTTCACACCTGCACATACCGGTATGTTTCTTTCTTCACTAAATCTGACAAAATAAGCTACATTTTGGCTGTACTTGGAACAACTTCAGGAAAAAACTGGTGCGAAGAACAACTGCACATATTTTTTATTAGTTAAAAATTAAGCCTTGATGATATATTCTCATTGCCCATCAAGTATCCGAAGTAGGCTAAATTATTCAAGCCAATTGAATAGGGATTCCAGCCTTCCTAATGCATTGAAACATCACCTCAAATATTACAGATGCTGCTCCCAGGTGGTCCCATTTTTTCTTTAGCCTACCTGACAGGGAATTCCCCTCCAGTGATTCCTGTTCCCAATAACCACAGCTCCTCATTTCTTCTCCTTATGTAATGTTTTTTATGATAGCATGTAGCTTCCATATCAACCCACCCAGTTAATTCTCTTTTTCAAAACTAACTTTTAAACTTTAAAACTTTTTGTCTAGTGGGTGCAAAAATCCAAATAACCACTTGGTGTCAAGCAAATATAGAAAAGCCCTAATTAAGTGACTGTTATGTTGAATAGTCAATCAGTGGATCCATTGTTTCATGATTAAAAAAAAAAATCAATAGCTAATGGTAAGGACAAGAGAAAAGATTTAAAAAAATCTTTTGGAGTAAAAAAGCAGTGTGTTTGTTAATTAAAAGAGAATTTTATTTTCTTATTTATTTAACTGATCCCAAGACACATGCATAACATGACATAGACTGCTAATATGGTGAATGATACTGAAAGTGAGTAGAGTTTCAGTTAAGTGAACCACAATCACAGCCCTTAGAATGATGCACTTAAAACTATACAAATAACAATATATACCTATTTTTACATAATACAGAGTAAGGCATGTGGAGGAGGCAGCAAGTTTTAGAACAGCATAATTTTTTGCCAGTTCCAAAACAGGAAGGGAAAATGGCAGCTCCATGGGTGTGGCCAAGGATAATGACCAATAATGTTGATTAAAAATGTAAGCAGTGAGCAACTAGCTTTGGTGAAAAGTCTTACAAATGACTTATTTTGCACTACAGGTAGTCCTTGATTTATGACCACAATTGAGTTCTGAATTTTGGTCATAGGTCACTGCAGTCATAAATTGAAACAGCATGTGATTAGACTCCATTTTGTAGTTGTTTTTACATCAATTGTTAAGCAAATCATGTGACCAAATCCAGCTAATCCAATGGGCATTTCTTGCCAGAAAATGGCAAAGAAGTCACAAAACACAATTCTGGAATGCTGCAACTGGTCATAAATGTGAGGCAGTTACTAAGCACCTGAAATGCATTCAAATGATTATGTGATAGTGGTGTAGCAGTTATAAATTTGAGGATGGACCCTAAGCCACTTTTTTGGTGTCTGTTGTATCTTTAATCATTAGACAACTATTCCTACATTGAGAATTACCTATAGCTGAAATGTTTGAACTGTCTCCCATCATAACAGTTGCTGATATAATGCACTCCAGCCACTGAAGAGTTACCAATAGAAGGATAACCATGGCCTACTAAATATTTCAGTCTCAAAATTATCCTTTGCTCTTGTTTATTTTACATCTTGAAACAAAGATGTATGTATTTTTTGCATCCTGTGTTTCTTATTCACTATAAAATCTGTATCAATTAACTATGGAACAAAATACATTCAAATACACAAAAACATGGACAGAATTAGTAAATGCTATCATCACTGTTATTTTTAACAAGAAAGCTAAATGATGTCAGATATTACATGAAATTCTTAGGAGCCGATGTTTATCTTGATATCATCATGGTTGAATGCACTAGGACTTGGATTTCAGTAAACATGCATAGGATTGTCATTTAAGTTGTTAAATATTACTTGGAAAAATATTACTTAAATGATAAATATTTTCATTTAAACTAAACACCAAACTGTTAGTATTATATTAGAAATAACTTGCAAGAAAATGCATTTTTCTTTGGTATATATAACCAAAAGTACATATTACATGAAATAAACTTAGTCTTTTTCTACAAGTATTTCATTAAATAAACACTTGAAGTATCTCAAAATGTATTTATATTATCATTCTGTATAAATCTCTTGATATATTTTGGGTGTATTTTGTCTTCATTTTTATAAATTTTTCATTAATGCCTCCTTTTTAGATGGCTATATCAAAAGGTTTTTAAAACCTCTTTAAAGTGAACATATTTTAGAAGCTGTATTTTTAGATTTTTGTTTAAAATAGTAATATGAAGGCTACTTATAAATAATTGGTTACCACGATGTAAAAAAGATTTTGAAACTCTGGAAAGAATG